GACGTCTGGTCATACTGCCACCACGTGAGCTTCCGGCCCGCCACCTTAGCCACCCGCATCAGCAGCTCCTCCACCCACCCCCACGCTCATTGCGCCGAACTCCTCGAAGAGCAGCGCCTCCACGCGGCACTTCCCCTCTGCGTCCGTGTACTGGCCCTTGACAGCCTCGACCGTCCCGGTCCCCGTCCGCGGGTCCCACATCCCCACCCTCCCGCCCCTGTCCCCGCCCTCCACGCCCAGAACCGTCTCGCGGGCGCGAACCCAGGCATGGCTGTTGGACGAGGTCCTCTGGCGCAAGTGGGGGCAGTCGGCTCCATCAACGCCGCAGGCGGGGCGGCACGCCGCAGGCGGGGCGGCATGCCGCGGCTCAGCTTCAGGTGAGTTCATCTTGCCAGCGGTACCCGACGCTGCTCGAACGGCAGTTGTCGACCGCCGGCAGTTGACCGGCAAGATGAAGTCACCTGCGCTCGAAAAAAATACCATCGGAACCGCCTCACCGAGGCGCACAAACGTCCTCACCCTGGCAAAGGCCAGCTCTGTCATCCTGGGTCGCTGCGAAAATGCTGTCAAATCACATCCGCAGAGTGCGCCGTTGGGAAGAGGCACGAGGAGGGCGGCGACTTCGACCGACTATGGAGGACCCGTCGCCAGACGACGCAGGGCAGAAGACGGTGAGGCGGAGCAGACGCGCAGGGTGAGACGAGGGAGGGAGCAGGACTTTGCGGAGATCAGCAGGAGGATGTACGAAGAGATTAGGAGCAGCAGGGACCCGAGGGACCATGTGGAAGACGGCTAGTGCTAGTCCCCCATCGGGAGGACGACCCCGGCTAGTCGCCGACCACACCCACAAAGAACCCTGCACAAAGATCGCAAGGGCGGGGGCCTGTTCCTTTTTACCCATCTCACAGTAGAGAGGTGTCCGTTTTTATTTATTTATTTATTTAGAGTGCGCCGTCAAAAAAGTGGGAAAGTGCGCCGGCCGGCGCAGAGTGGTGCGCCGGCGCCGGCGCAAATGTGCGCCGTTTTCTCCGCCGTTTCGGCGCACTCTGCGCCGCCGCACCAAATAGGGGTTTTCACACCACATACTGGTTGCCCCTTCCTACACACCAGTATTGCCTCAATCGAACCGAGGTGGCAGGGGGGGGGGTGCGGGCTGCCTAGAGGTTTGGTGGAGGACAAAGCCGGATCGCGTCCACAAGCAGTCCGGGCCCACGTAGTTCTTGAGCATGTACCCCCAGCCGTGTGAAGACATGTCAACGTAGCCCAAGCAACCCGCATTGGAGTTGCACCGCGCCTCGCAGTCCGCCTGGCTCGAGCAGCCGCCGAGGTCGGAGTCACCTCCTGGCGCGGAGCTGCAAGGTCCCTCAACATTCGTGTCTTGCAAGATGGTACTCGAAATCGTGATTGCCTCGATGCACTTTTGCGACAGGCGGCGGCGGCCATCACCCTCGTGCGGATGGTTGTGGCAGCAGGAAAGGTCGGGCTGAGCTGCGCAGGTGCTGCAGATGGCCTCCGTGGCGGCCGTCGGCAAGTGTGTGCCGTAGTCGGAGGGGGCGGCTTCCGGGTCCAGGTGTCCTGACGTCTCCTCCCTGCACGTCAGGGGGCAGGTCATCTTCACTTCGTCCACGCAGGTCGTGTCGCAGGCCGAGTTGGTGGTGTCGCAGAGGCCAAAGCCTTTCGCTTGCTCGCACGTCGGGACAAAGCCGGCGTCACACGGCGCTAGAGCCTGGGCAAAGATGGGCTCGCGCGCTTTCGGATTGATCGCCGCCTCACGCAAGTCGGAGGGTGTGGGCGCCGCCAGGGCGGCGACGGCGAGAGCGGCCAACATATGTGTATGCCGCGGGGTACAGCTCGGTGGGGTACAGTTTCTTGAAGTCCTCGGCCGCCGAATTTGAAAAAGAATTTTACAACAAAACTCCGTCGCACAACACTGGGCACGGGACTGGCGCGCACTGGCACTATCGCCCGATCGAAGTTATCGCCCGACAAAAGTGTAACGTCTTCATGAATCGGATTTCACAACAAAACTTTCTCTCGCAGCACTAGGACTAGCGCGCGCACTGTATAAATCACGGGAGCGCCGTTTCACCCACACACCTGGCTCGATCCAGCTGGCCGACAAGGGCGACGGGACCCATGCCTCCACAAGGCTGAGCGGAGGGGCTACTACGCCCACGTCAACAAGGGACACATCCCGGACCTGATCCGCTTTGGCTCCACGACCACACGCTGGGAGTTCAAGTGCTACACTCCGTTCCTCCCCTCCGGCGCAAAGGGCAACGGCTCTGCCCGCTGCGGAGGCGCTGCCTCCCGTGCCGATGGGCACTTCATCGCGCTTGGCAACACTGAGGAGCACCTCTCCGTCGTCGTCCTTGGTCACCCCCAACGGGGTGACCCGGCCACGGAGGAGCAACTGGACCGTGTCAGCGGCGACGGATGGGTGGCAGCGAAGGACGGCGATTACGCTGACGCCCTCGCCAAGGGCCACACGGTCATCCTCCTCGTGACCGAGTCGACCGGAGCATTCTCCGCCGACCTCGATATGATGTAACATACTTCCGGGCCGGTGTGCGGGGAGCGAACCTTAACGACCGCCCAGAAGCTTTCTGAGCGAACCAATCGGGCCAGGATCATCAGCATATGTCCCCTCCACAGCATCGTGGGCGTTTGAGCGGTATTTGAGGAGCACCGCGACTCTGAAGTTCGGCCGGGTGGTCTGCAAACCCCCCCCCCCCGGAGCAGCAGAGGCTCCGTGGGGTCGAAAAGTCGACGCTGGGAGTCGCACTCGTCAAACCGTCGCAACACCACGCGGTCCGCACGTACCTCCCACATCCCCTCCACCGCTGAGAAGGCGCAGATCGACCGCCGGGCCGCGTAGCCGTCGTTAAGGAGCCGTTTTTGGAGCCGTACGAAGAGGTCCCAGACGGGCGAAGATGCGGTTTTTCGACAACCACACGCGATGTGGTATCTGGTTTTTGCTAAAAACGGGCCGCCTAGTGCAGCATCACTAGTACAACACGTAACCACTCCTCACTAGCCGGTATAGGCGAGAACCGACGGCGTCACGGTCGCCGGAGTGGACGCACTGCACACACACTGTGACCGTGTCGACGGTGTGACAGTGAGCTGACACAATCGTCGGCGCCGCGCTATCGCGGCGCCCCGCAGTCAACACGCCTCAGGCACACCCCTGAACGCGCCATGGGCGCGCAGATACACCGCAGCGCCGTGGAGAATCCACACCTGGCCGGTCCCGAGCCCCGTCCTGGGCCTCCAGGCGGCCGAAGATCGGCCTTCGGGCGGGATGAACTTGTCGGAAATGGAGCAAACTTGGCGCGGCTCGCCGCTCGCGGTACCGGGTGAGCCTGGATAGGGCAAAATCTGGGGTGAATACGAGGGACAGAGGTCGCAAGTTTGTCGCGCAAGTTTGCGCGGCGTGGCGCTGCCCCGCTGCCGAGGGCGCCACCAACCCGTGGCGGCGGCATTTCCAGCCCAAATTGGGCGTTCCGTGCGCCTTGCCGGCGAGAGTGGACGGGCTGTGCATCGTGGGGGGGGGTGACTGAGAGAGAGGTGGTCGTGTGCCTACTTTGTCGGCCGCGCGCGAGGAGAATACTGGGTGTGAGGCGCGCAGGAGGCGAGGGTGGGCGCGCCGGCGGTCGAGCCACCGAAGAATTCGACGTGGCGCAGCTCCGCGCCGGCGGGGACGACCGAGCACATGATGTCGGCGGCGGTCACGCGACGAGGGAGAGCCGCAGGAGCCCTCTGAGAGCCAGGCGCGCGAAAGCAGCGATGAGTGGCGCTTCGATCAGCCACCTGTGGGCGGCCACCGGGGAGACGGTCAAGCGCTGCCAGGGTTGGATCCGGTGCGTCTCGTATCACTGGTGGGCAGGGTCTGCAGCAGCCGCGCTCAAAAAGAGGGAAAAAAAGCGACAACTGTTCTGACTGTCGACTCTCTCGACACACCGTCCTCGACCGCGCTGAAAAGCTGGCTGGTGGTCGCGCGCAGTGCGTCAGCGCGGGTCCAACTGGTTCGGCACCTCGGCTGGGTCCATCGGCAAGAGGCCCGCGCCGTCGGGCGGCCCCGGGAGCGCATGGGCGGCCGGCGCTGAGCGGAGGAATGCGGGCTGAGATCGCAGCTCTGCCACGAAAAACACAAGGCGCCAAGGGGGGGGGGTCAAGTATGTTACATCATATCGATCGCGTCCTCCGCCAGCTTGCGAGGACCGCACGCGCTAGTGGGTCCATTGACCACACGCCGTATGGCACCTCTCGCGCGTCCACCCGCTCACACTACACCTTCCACTCCGCCGCCATCTGAAGGCCCCCGCACGGGGGGTCCCGGCCGACGTCATGCGCGTCCGCCAAGGGTCCGGGGTCGCCCAGGCAAGTGGCCCAAATCCGATGAGTTTTCCAGGTGTGAACAGCTGTTGAGAGGTGTGAATTCATCCCGGGCAGGGTGCGGGGCGGTAGTCCCGCAGAGAAAATTTTGCGTGCTGGGGCACTGAGATCGCAGTTTTATTAGTCCACGGCGGATGCCAGCTGCAGCTGCGAGGAGACACGCAGTGCCTCATTTGAGCATGAATCAGCGTCCTTTCTGCTGGCATCACGCATAGGAGAAGCCGAGAGGCACGAGGTCCTCCAATTTGCCGTACCGACGTCGCGCCTAGAGAAGATCACGGCCGCTGCCAAGCAGGCCAAGCTCGATCTCGACCGCGACCGCGCCTCTGCCGCCCTCCCCCCTGCGCCCGCCGCAGCTGGCCTTGCGTCCGGCGTCGCTGCCACCGGCCCCGCCGGCCTTGCGCCCGGCGCCGCTGCCACCGGCACCGGCACCGGCCCCGCCGCTTCTGACACCGCCGCGTCCGCCGCGCCCGCCGCCGACCCGCCGACGGAGTCGCCGCTCACAATTGCAACACCAATGCTCGAGATCAGCACGAACGTTGTGATCGCCACGTACGACAGCGCGGGTAGGTTCGACTGGTGGTGCGGCCGCGTGCAGCAGAATGCTCTGCAAGTCGGGCGGCAAGAGGGGGAGCTACGTGCGGACCTATCTCCCCGTGCCGTTCGACGAGGCTAAGGCAGCCAACTATAAGATCCACTGCAACTTCTACGCCAAGTCGGGCGCGGACGGCGACTACACCTTCAAGTACAACGTCGACGATTCCGCCCCGTACCACATGGAGTCGGTGCTCGGCCTCCTCGACCTCAACCTCCCCACCGACGAAGGAGTGTCTACGTGCCGCGCGATCAACAGGCCGGCTGGAAGTTTGACGAGGCGCTTAAACTGATCACGCCGGCCGCGGACTCTGCTCCCCACCGCAAGCGGAGTACCGCCGACGACGAGGCTGGCGGCTCTCTGGCGCGAAGAAGCGCGCCCTGACGGTGACGCTCACACGCAAGGGCGGGACGCTTGGAATCTCTGTCGACCCCAACAACCACCAAATCACCAACGTGGTCGAGGGTGGCGCTGGCGACACCGCCGGGCTTTGCGTGGGCGACTTCATCGCCGAGGTCAACGGCAAGTCGACGACCGGCGGCTCCTTTGGCAAGCTGCTGCCTGCTGCAGCGACGGCGGAGATTAGGCTGCGGCTCATCCGAGTGCAGGTGGTTGAGCCCGACCATCTACACCTCCCTGACCTACTAGCATAAGTGTCTTCCCCTCCCCCTCGCACACAGGATTGACGCTGCTCTCGGCGCTCGCTCCCTCCTCGCCGCCGCGGACCAGGCGTGCCCGCGGGGGCTCTGCAGAGAGCCAGACGGCTCCGCGCGGTCGACATAGATGTGACCCGCCCGCTCGAGTGCGGCGTCCGGATGCTAGTGCTTGAGAAGACACCACAAACGCGGCACGGCCCGTTTTGGATGTCTGCGGAGATTCTGTCTTAGCACACACAGTGAGAGTCATTCGGAGTCATTCGATGGCCAGAGTGCGATTGTGTGTGTGCGGGAGTTGGTTTGTCGGGAGGGAGGGGCAGGCTGCTCACCCACGTGCACCGGGCCAGTGCTTGCACTTTGAATGCCGTGGGGCTCCTGCCCGTGTCCGGGCGTGGAGATGCGAGGGTCGCCCCCCCTTGCCCCACCACTTTGTGTGTGTGGAGAAATCTACCTTACCTTACCTTTCCTACTACAAGGCGGTCACACACATGGCACATCGCTCTCGGGCCCACAGACATCCCGCACACCCTACACAAGGTAGGTAGGTAGAAAGGTGAAGAAGAACCAGGCACAAGGGGGCCAACGCCAAAATGATTTTCTTGCGCGAGGCGGACGGAGAGGGTGTCGCTCCGACTCTGCAGCCCCCCGGCAAGAGGCTGCCATGATCGGCAAGAAAGTCTCCGCGCTAAAGGCGGCGACCAAGGCCGTACACTCCCTGACCAAGAAGGCGAAGCAAGCGATGCAGTCGCCCGAGGCGGTCGCGGCCGAGATGCAGGTCCGAGAGCCTGCCGCTCTGTGCTCCCCACAGCTTCGACCCCGCCACCCACCGCTGCACCGAGGTCCGTGCCGCGCCCTCGCCCGACAGGCAAAGTTCGGCACACCCATCTGGCGACTTGACCGCGACGCACCTGTCTGTGCGCTCTGTCACGCCACCTTTGCGGCAGCTGTTGGCGAGCGCCACGGCTCCACAGAAGGGAGTCGCAACCACCGTTTCGACGTCTTCCATAGGTCGACATAGACGAGCTCGGATCTGGTGCGCCGGTCAGCCGCCACCACTGTCGCTGGTGCGGCGACGTGTACTGCGCGACCCACTCCTCAGAGCGTCGGAGGGTGCGCAACGCTCAACGGAGGTTTGCGGGACACATGCCATGTCCACGACACGTTCATGACACGCACACAGGTGCGCAACGGAGAGGTCGAGAAGGTGTGCGACTTGTGCGCCATTCTGCTCGGCGGCGTGAAGGAGATCAGTAACCGAGAAGCAGCCGGATCCCCTGCCCGAGTTCCAGATCCCCTGCCCGAGTTCCAGATCCCCTGCCCGAGCTCCAGATCCCCTGCCCGATCCCCTGAACGAACCAATCAGAGAGGTGAACTGTGTATGCGAGATGGACTTGCACCGCGCCACTCAGGACGGCGACCCGTCCCGGATCGACCCGTTCGTCATGCTCAGCACCGAGTGCGCTCCCCTTCTCAGCCCTGGTGACGACGCCCCGCCACACGCGCGCGCTCCCAATCCTTCCTCAGAGCTCCTTCTGCCCTTTTCAGAGCTCGGCTGCCGCGCTGCCATCGCCCTCCTCTCGCTGCTTGCGGCGAGTCACCTGTGGAAGGCGCTCCGCCTTCTTCTTGTGGACGTGGTTGTCCGCACACTACTGGAAGGGTTGAGGTCTCGCGTCCACTGTATCTCAAGGTGCTCCTCTGGGCGGTCGCTTCGGCCAGCATCAACGCTGCCGCCATCCTCGCGCTCCTCACGCCAACCTCGCGCGAGCAGCTGCACGAGCAGGCGCTACCCGCATCTCGTCGATGCAGAACCACACACACACACACGCACGCACACGCACACACACACACACACACACACACACACACACACACACACACACACACACACACACACACACACACACACAATGCTCTGCACTATGACGTTAGCAAAGTCGGTAATACAACACGCAACGGGAGTGCGACGGCCCATCCGAGGAAGTCTGTTAGGCCTCACAGAGCGCCCTTCCCCGCGCGGGGAGCTCTCACCCCACCTGCGGTGGCTCAGGCGCCATGCGCCTCCTCACTGAGCCCCCTCGTGGACTGGGCACGTGTGGTCCTCGCCGGCGGCGACGCCTGCCTCGCCGCCCTCTGCCTCGGTCTCGCGATGCGGCTCCTACATGCACATCCGCCGTCGGCCCTCGACGGGCTGTGCGCGCTGGGGGACGCGGGCTGCCTCGCCTACACAGCCACTCAAAACACGCGCCAGGCGAGACACGGACCGCACCCCGCCCGATTCACACCTACAGCACCTGACGCGACCCCCCCCCCCCCCCCCCTTTTCCGGTTGCCACCCACAGTTGCTTCTCCTCGCGCGCGCCCGCGCCCAGCGAGGCAACTATGTGGAACTCACAGAGCTAGAGTGAAGCCGGCGCCCAGTGGCACGTTGGAACGTGTGGAACGGCCCGACGTTGTCATGCGATTCTTTATGCTGAGTATCAAAAGAGCTCGAGAGTGAGTGTAGTGACCCAGAGACAAGAGAGCGACACACGATCAGACCAACCGACAGCGTGGTCGGGCGCACAGGCCCACAGCAGCCAACCTCTCACATGCTTATTCCTACACGCGGACTCTTCGGAACGCCTCAGCCATGGAGTTGAACGTCGAGTGCCCACAGTGGCCGTCGAGCGGGGACGCGCCGAGGTCACTCTTGATCTCAGAGCCGACTGCGTCGATCACGTCGGCACAGCCGTGGTTCCAGTCCACGCTGAGCGCAGGGCGCACCGCACCGCCAGCACATCCGCCATCGCCACCGCTACTCGAGCCGCTGCCTCCATCCCCGCCGAAGCCCTCGCCACCGCCACTACGATTGGTGAGCGCAGGGCGCACCGCACCGCCAGCACATCCGCCATCGCCACCGCTGCTCGAGCCGCTGCCTCTGTCCCCGCCGAAGTCCTCGCCACCGCCACTGCGATTGCTGAGCGCAGGGCGCACCGCACCGCCAGCACATACGCCATCGCCACCGCTGCTCGAGCCGCTGCCTCCGTCCCCGCCGAAGCCCTCGCCACCGCCACTGCGATTGCTGAGCGCAGGGCGCACCGCACCGCCAGCACATACGCCATCGCCACCGCTGCTGGAGCCGCTGCCTCTGTCCCCGCCGAAGCCCTCGCCACCGCCACTGCGATTGCTGAGCGCAGGGCGCACCGCACCGCCAGCACATCCGCCATCGCCACCGCTGCTCGAGCCGCTGCCTCTGTCCCCGCCGAAGCCCTCGCCACCGCCACTGCGATTGCGCCAGGCCGTCTCGACGCACCGTGCGGGACCATCAAAGACAAAACTGCCGCCGTCATCGTACCTGCCTTGGCTTGCCTCCATGTCCATCACGCGCTTGAACTCTTCCGACGTGACGGCGAAAGCCCTTGCGCCCGGATCCTTGTTCCTGCACGACCACTCAAACCAGGCCTTGCGATTTTCCTCCTCGGCAATAACGAGGATGTCGCGGACTTGACCTCCATCCGTCGCCGCGTGTCTGCTAGCTTCGTCTCTGCCTCCATCCGTCGCCGCACCACTCAATGAAAATGCCTGCGCCGCCGCATTATCCCCCCCCGAAGTTTCCCCTGCCGCGGCTTCTACAGCAGCGGGCAGGGCGTCGACCTCCGCATCGCCAATGTTGTGCTGCGGCGGCAACGCAGCTGGTAAACCGTGAGGAGGCGACTTGAATGGACCTCGGACGCAGATGAGGATTATGAGGCAGCAGAGGAGCACCACGATGATTGCACCAAGTACGACAAGGGTGATGAGCACCTCCTCAGCCATGCACACCCACTCACAACAGCCGCCGACGGACGCGCGACGACGGCATATAAAGCTCATTGCCGCAACGACTATGCCGAGGGGACCGGGAGGCGGTAAGCCGTCGTTGCCCGGCGCTGCTTGCCCTCAGAAAAACTATCAGGAGGCGGGTCCTGTGAGTGTGTCACACACACACACACACACACACACACACACACACACACACACACACACACACACACACACAAACACAGCACACACACACACACACACAGCACACACACACACACACACACACACACACACACACACACACACACACACACACACACACACACACACACACACACACACACACACACACACACACACACACACACACACACACACACACACACACACCGCTCGCCCACGCGCATTGGGCCTTGCACTTGTAATGCCGTGGGGCTCCTGCCTGTCTAGACGTGGAGTCGCGAGGGGCTAGCCTGGCCCTTGCTCCACCACCTCGCGTGTGTTGAGACGTTTACCTTACCTCACCTTAGGAGAGCTGCTGTACGTGACTTGCTCCGGGGCGGAGGCGCAGGGGGAGGCGGTGGTGGAGTGGCTGCTCGCGGAGAGGCGCGACGCGGCGCTGGGCGAGGTGCGCACGGCGGGCGTGCCAGCGCGGCGGACAGGGCCGGGGGGGAGGATGGCGCGCTTCACGCCCGCAGACTCGAACACGTCGGGGCTCTTTGTCGCGCGCCTCGTACGGCGGCACGGCGGTGACGCTGAAGGATGATCGGTGTGTGTGGACGAGGACGCGGCGATGCCGAGCGAGCAAGCGGGCGCGGCGTCCGCGCATGTGCCGGGCGACGCCGCCCCCGCAGGGCCACCCGACCCCATCGCCCAGACGCCCGCCTACCCACCGCCGACGGGGCCAGAGCACGGGAGGGAGTTTCGCTCCGACGAGGACGGGGACGGCCCCACCGGGACCGAGGCCGAGGGTGTCGCCTACGCCGAAACCCTCGCCGAGGCCGAGGGTGTCGCCTACGCCGAAACCCTCGCCGAAGCCAAGCGCGCCGCCGACGAGCGACTCCGCGCCGCTCTCGCCGCGTGCAATAGGGTTTGTGGAGCGTCCAGAGAAACCTTTGTTACGTAATATCTCGGGACCGCGGACGCCATTCTGAACCAGACTAGATTTGAGAGCAGCACAATTGAAAGATCTAGATCTACTACTAATTAAGCCAGGGGTGGGGAGCTGGCCTTCTCAAATGGTGAAGGGTTAAATAGCTGCATTTTGACCAGAAGCCTTCTGGACACCTTCTGGACACCTTCTGGACATCTTCTGGACACCTTCTGGACATCTTCTGGACACCTTCTGGACATTCTGGACGTTCTGTACACCTCCCCTCCCCTTCAGACTCTTACTGAATATGTGATTTTTACATCTCAAGGCGGTGCGCAACAACAAACATGCAAAAAACTGCACCCTCAGAGTGATTCTGAGATCAGGTTGGGCGTTTCCCCTTTGGAGGCAGACATTTCAGAAAGCGAATCCCCGGCCGCATCTCCCCGCTCGAAGCGGGGAACCCGTCCCGGGCGCCCGCTGGAAGCTGGGGGCCCGCTCGAAGCGGGGGCGCCCGCTCGAAGCGGTGGCGGCGCAGGCTGCCACCGCTGCCCGGGCGCGCCGAGCGGCGGCGGAGGGCCGCCCAGGCCACCACCAGTGCCTCTCCCACCGGCGGCGCGGCGGCAGCGGCGCCGACCGCCCCTCCATCAGCGGCGGCGCGAGGCTGTCGTCGGGACGCCGGCAGGTGACGCGCGAATAGGGTGCCACCGGACCGGCCGACGAGCACCCAGCGGAGCCGTCATCGTGCATGGCGAGCCGAGCACCGCCGCGTCGCTTCTCGGCGCATTGGAGAGCAGAGGAAGCTGCTGGCGTCGCGGCTGGGATCGGCAGCGGCGCCAGCAGCTTTCTCGGATCTGAAGCGACTTTGAGCGCCGATCGATCGATCTGAGGGCTGACCGATGGGTGGCGCTGGGAGGAAGACCCGTCCCCTCAGCTCCGCGACGGCGACTCGATAGTCGTGGCCGGCGCTCGGCTGCCACTCTCAGCTGTGCCGCCAGCGCTCCTGGAACCGTGACGTCACTTCTTATGGATGCGGCACTAGGGACGCCCAATGTTTTCGTAAATATAGAAGCCACTCTCTCGCGTGTGGAAGCCACGACTGCGTAGTCGTGCTCCCCCGGAGCACGCCATAGAGCGCCGGTTGTGTACTGCTACTGGGCGCACCCGCAGCGCCGTACACACTGCCGCCACCCTGCCAGGGGGGCGCCGCAGGCGCCTCAAGCGGTGCGGAGCGCCGCCGCAGGCGGCGGACAGCAGGTGCGCGAAATTAAACGCCATTTTCGGTTCCGCGGTTTTGGCACTGTCTACCAACTTTGGTACAAATCGACTTGCACTTGGTCTGAGCCCTGCGCTGTGCGCTGCGTTTGAGCCTCCATTCTGAAAGTGTACGTAGAAGGGAAGGCAGCAGGTCCGGCTTGCGAACTCCGCTGTGCGCCGACAAGCGGTATGGCGCCGAGTAGAGGCCATTTTCCTATTAGAAAAGGCTGTCGAGAGCGCAAAATTTTCTTCGCTGCGCGCCCAACCATGGTGGGCACGCAGCGGGCGCCTGCGGCGCCAAATTTTTGAAATGTCTGCCAGTCGCCCAACCTGATCTCAGAATCACTCCTCACCCTCCGGGCACGCGCTTGCTGCCCGACACCCGCTCCGCCTCACCGGCTCCATCCCACGAAACGTAAAGATGGGGCGGCGAGTCGAGACGAGGAGGGTGGGCAGCGCGGCCGCTCGAGTAGCGGAGGCCGGTGGGCGTGCTCTTCGCCTTGGTGGCCGCGCCCGGATGCCGGCGCTCTCCTAGGGCGGCTCGGCCCGAGACAAGGCGTGTTGTCGTCGTCATCACTGGAGCGGACGGGCGATGCCACGCGGCGAGAGAATTGGGCGCCGGGGAAGATGTCGTCGCCTATCAAACACGAGCTGCCGTGCGTCAAAAGCGAGCCTGCCCTGATGACGCGCCCCGGCGAGCGCGTGTGCCAGAGGGTGAGGCGTCGGCCGGCAGCGAGCCAGCGCCGGGCACGGTGCCTCCCTTGACGGCGGCTGGCACCACAGACGCTGCGCGAGAACCCCCGGCGCCACCGACCCCGTCAGCCCCGCCAACCCCGCCAACCCGGGCAGCCGCCATTCCGCTGCCAAACCCGGGCTGCTCAGCCCGCTTGCTCGTCACCGGCGAACCGGTTGCGGCGGTGGTGCCGCCGGGGTGATGGCGGCATTCCCGACCAGGACCTGCATCTGCCTCGCGCGCTTGCCTGGCTGGTTTTGCCGGCCCAGCCCACCCACGACGGACGCGACGCGAGAATGTCAGAAGGGGGGGGGGGGGGACTTGCGGTTCGCGCCAGAATGCCCAGAATGTCCAGAAGGTGCTTTAGCAAGCTTTAGCAATGTCCAGAATGTCCAGAAGGTGCTTTAGCAAGCTTTAGCAAATGTCCAGAATGTCCAGAAGGCCCGCAGGCCTTCATCAGCAAACCACAATGTCTCCTTTTCATTGCCCATGAGCCATGACTGACTGACCGGGCCTACGGCTTTACCTGACTGAGAGAGACCTTCTACAACACCTGAGGCCTTCTGCACACCTGCAGAGGACTCTCTAGACGTTCCCACATTCTTTTCCAA